GTAAGGCTGTGACCTTCCCGCCCGCTCCGGGCGGCGCCGCAGGTGCCGTCGGCCCGGCCCGCTGCCGTCCCCGCGGGGGGCTGCGGTCACGGCCGCACGACCGGCGGCGGTCTTCGGGCCTCCCACCCCTGCCGCGGTGGTGTGAGGTCTCGGAGGTCTTCGGGCCTCCCGCACCCGGTTTTGTGAGTTCAGCCAGTCGTGGGTTTTTGTGTCCCGCTGTCCTCGCTGTCTCACCAGCTCCGCGAAAAACTTCAAACTGGGAGCTTTCCCAAAACCTTCGTGTTTCAGTGCGTGGAGTATCGGGTACTGTTATAAGTTGACCGTAATTATTTAATCCGTGTTGGTGATAGTGTGAGATAACTATATAGTTACCATTTAGGCCCTTAATGTTCGAGACCCCATTGTGGAATTTCCTTATTCCTGCGTCCCCTTGTGACAGCACTCTAAAGTTGGCTTAAAGCTGTTTGGTTAGCTGATCGTTATGATAAGCCATGTCCTATTTATTTATGTGTGTGTATATATATTCGTGTAGCCATCAGTTTGAATTCTGTAGACTACTTGTAGCGTTCCTGTCAAACATGGTCACCCTTAAATCACTGATGGATAATTTCAGCTATAGTTGAAAATGTGTTTCTGATCCTAAGTTTCATTCTCCAACCCTGTATGTTAAACACTGGACTACTAAATTAAAATGGATTTGTGCTTGGTTTGCATCACTAGAGACCCTGAAAGTACTGGCTGCTGCTTTATTTGGAACATTGATTCAGAAGGGTGTAATAGTGACAGAAGCCTAAAGAGTGCAAAGAAGAGCAAAAGAGCAAAGATCCTGAGCAATAAGTGCTTTTCATGTATAAGGGTTTATCTTGCAAACTTATCATTGTTCTGCTTGTGTTGTTAAACAAGACCACAGCGGAATTGAGACAGCTTAAGGATCCCCTCCAGCAGTGATATCTAAGGCTAAGATGAAGGTTTGAGACCTTTCAAGAGATGAGGTTATGTTATGTATAATCTAGAAAATATGTTCAGGATACTGCTGTTATTGGGACTGTTGTAGTAGTAAACTCTGGATGTTACAAGGACACCATTTCGGGTCTCGGTACCTTCCGCAGCCATAGCGGTCAGATGCAACAAGCACGGCTAATTCAGCTGTAGTGTGATTTACTCTTTACTTGAGTCATCTCTTGATTTTTTTTTCTGTTCTCTTTAACTGAAAGTGAAAGTCTAAACTGCCTGTGCTATTCCACTGTCAGAATATAAGGATAACGAAAACATTAATGTAGTTGCTAAGTATCATAGAATTTTTATTTTGATCTCTTGTTCTAATAGGTGAATTCATGTTTAAGGTCTGAAAAATGTGTTCTGTGCATGGAGTAAACATTGCAGATTTCACTTGTTAATACTTCAGTAATGAACTTTCATAACAAAATAGGCACAAATTTGTACAGAAATGTAAACTTTGTAAAAAAAGAAAATGTTTAATCCATGCTTTAACTGCAAAAGGGTTGTTCATCTCAGTAACGGGATTGTAGTCATAAAGCTTTAAAATACAAAAGTTTACCTGCCTGGTCAAAACCTATATTGTAAATGCGTTTATTAAGTTTTGCATCTACTCTATCTTACTACAAAAACGCATAGGCATTACTGATACCGAAATAAGAAATGAGATTTTTGGCAGGAGCATTGTAACAAAGCATATATTTGCTTATTTTAGGGCATGATATCCACTTCCATGATAAGAAGATTGCTTTGTTGGAGGCTGGTCCTAGGAAAGAATATGATCGCATGCCAGACAGTTACAGCAACAGGGTCAGTTCCATCTCCCCAGGATCAGCAACCCTCCTAAGCAGTAAGTATCATTTCTGTTGTTTGCATTTTTAACAGTATATTTGAGTTGGTTTTATTTTGTTTAAACAAAACTCCTTTGATCATTTGCTGCCTTCATCCTAAACTCGATGGAATTATTTCCCTTTGTCTCTTAGTATTCTATATGCTGAATTGTGGTGATTAAACCAGGCTTCTCTCGATAACAGGGATCTGTGTTCTGGTATCTTGGTCTGATTTGTTATATAAATATTTGTGACAGTAGGCTAGTGAAAGGTTGTACGGTGCTCTCTACAGCATCAGGGAATGTTCTGTTCACAAAAGAAGCACGTACTCAGTGCTCTGTAGTCTGGTAACTCACTTCTGATTAATTTTAATTTTAAAGAGAGATTTGAGCCTTGATTCCTTACAGAGAAAGAAATGTTCTGAACAATGATGGCTGTGCATTTCTGTGTCTGTTTTATTACTCAGTGATAGGACAGTGAGAGTTGACTGTTAAGTCACAGCGTTCATGAAAGCAAAGTTCTTGTTTCTTTTCTACTGGCTTGTGTTAACAGTAAAATAATGTGATGCCGGAGCTGTGAAAGTATTGAGGCAGACCTGGTCCTGTCTAGGGATGTTGCAAGCAAAGTCTGGGCACTGATAGTCAGGGAGGGAGGAGGAGAGTGTGGACTGAGCTTCAGTTTTGTTTGGGTCTCAATGTCACATGTGAACCTGTATCTCCGTGCATTTGTGTCCTTTTTCAGGTTTTGGTGCCTGGGATCATGTCTGCAGCCTGAGACTCAAACCATTCCGGCGAATGCAGGTGCCTTACTTAGGGCTGCAAATATACTATGTGTCTGTCTCCTTTGAATTCTCAGAAGTACTTACATGAATGATCCAAAGGTTTTTTTCTTTGGCAAAGGGCAGGTCACGCTTATGATGATTCCTGTTACTTTTTGGGGGGTAGCAGTCTACTCAGAAATACCCTTCCTCAGAGTGTTGATGATACAGGATGAAAGGTTGATTTCTAATGGAAGCTGTAGATGTTGAGGCATGGGTACTAGTCAGGAAATAAAGGTAAAGGTGTGTATTGGTTTTGGCTGGGATAGAGTTAATTTTCTTCATAGTAGCTTGTACGGTGCTGTGTTTTGGATTTGTGATGAAAACCGTTGATAACACAGGCACATATTAGCTATTGCTGAACGGTGCTTACACAGCACCAAGGCAGTCCCTGTTTCTCGCACTGCCCTGCCAGCAAGTAGGCTGGGGGTGCACAGGAAGCTGGGAGGGGACACAGCCAGGACAGCTGACCCCAACTGACCACAGGGATATCCCACACTGTATAACATCATGCTCAGCAATAAAAGCTGGGGGAAGAAGGCGGAAGGGGGGACATTTGGAGTGATGGCATTTGTCTTTCCAAGGAAGTTACACATGATGGAGCCCTGCTTTCCTGGAGATGGCTGAGCACCTGCCTGCCTATGGGAAGTAGTGAATATGCTTTGCTTGTGCACACAGCGTTTGCTTTAGCTATTAAACTGTCTTTATCTCAACCCATGAGTTTTTGCACTTTGACCCTTCTAATTCTCTCCCCTGTCCCACTGCAGGGGAGTGAGTGAGCGAGCAGCTGTGTGGTTCTGAGCTGCCTGCTGGGGTTAAACCACAACAAGGTGGTAGCGTAGCTTTATATGTTAATTATGCAACAGGAAAGTAGGGATAAAAAAAACTTTCTTTGCAATTAGTTTTTTACATGAAGCTAGATCATTGTATGAAAGGAATTATGTACTTCAGTAGCTGTGCGTGAATGGTAATCCAGGATGTTTCCTCTAGTTCTGTACTTCTAGATTGCCAAGTCCTTTTCTTGTTAAGATGGATACATTCATAGCCCCGAGAGGAACAACACTTCTTTATCATGTAGCTTCATGTAATGTATTTTTTTTCTTTGTAGGTGTGGGATGCTTGTTCTGAAGCCATGATCGTTTTTGAGAAAGATGACTTAGATGACATGGGTTACATAGTGGAGAATGATGTCATTATGTCTGCTCTCACAAAACAGTTAGATGCAGTAGCAGGTAGTGGACAACTTCTTTAATATTATATTTCCCGCAGAGAGCTTTCAGTTACTTGCCTTCTGTTGTGTGTGCTAAGTTATGAGAGGGAGAAAGAGAATTCATCTAACAAGTAACTCTGAGACATAGGCAGCTTCTTGAAATGGGGTGGGGGGTGGGGGGGGGAGGAGGAAGAAATCTGTCTTCTGAAGGCTACACGGCAAGAAAACAGTTTCATATGTAGCTCTCCAGAATATAGTTTCTCCAAAAATAGACTTAATGAAAAGATCTGTAGCTTTCTATGCAGAGCAGGCCTTGCAGTGACAAAGGGTTGACCAGATCTGTTCTTTCAGGGTGCCTTGACAATTGTAGGGTCAGCTCTTAGCGTGCCATTAAGACATGCATGGCCTTTGCTGTTGTAGTGATGTTTCCTTTTTTTCATGTCTGTATCATGCTGTGACCATGGTACTTTGTGTTCCCATCAGACCGGGTGGAGGTTTTCTACAGGAGCAGAGCAGTCGGGTATACCTGGCCCCTTTCCTCTTACAGCTGTGACACAAGCCCTTGGGTCCAAATTGAGTTAGCTGATGGACGCAGACTTCAGACCAAACTGCTGGTAACTAAACTTTTTATTTCTGTTGATCAGGCGTCATCTCTCACCCAAGTCCTTTCCACTGGATTTTGTTCTGATTCCGTGTGTGCCGCTCCACCCACGTGGAGGGCTTGAGTGAGGTGAGTGGCTAACTCTGTCAGAGATGCTATGGGACACAGTGCATAGCCTTTTCTGTACCTGATGCAGGAAGACTGTGCTGAATTGGACAAGAGCAGAAGGGGCCAACTTTTCTGGTTTTGGGGAATTCCCCCCCCCGCCCCCGAATAAACAAAAAATGTGTATGTGCAGGCTACGGTTTGTAGACTGGAATATTGGCTTTCTTAGGAGCTGCTGAAGAGATTGCTTTCTATCTCTCTCTCTGTTTTGCAGATTGGTGCAGATGGTCATAACTCTGTAGTCCGAAAGGAAGCTGAAATTAAGAACATTGAGCATCAGTATGACCAGTCAGCCGTGGTGGCAACTCTTCATTTGTCTGAGGTGAAATTCTACTAATTGACTCTTCCATAAGCAGCAGAACAGCTTAAGCAGGTGATCCAGGTCACTAGTTCATAACTGTCCACTTGCTTCTTTCCACTGTAGGCCACAGACAATAATGTAGCCTGGCAGAGGTTCCTTCCCACAGGGCCAATTGCGCTTCTTCCGGTAAGATGACTTGTAGTCTCTGTATTTTTTTTTTTTCTGTCCTTTTCTAGGAACTTTATTTCTGTCTGTGCCTTTCTGTGTTAGTTTTGTCTCTTAAAATTCTGTACATCCGCCCTTTTCAGTTATTGCATTTGTTTTCCTCTTCTGCAGTCTCACTTTATCCTTGGTATTTCCCACTTGCAGCAAGTTGGGATGGAAGAGTAAAGCGCAGAAGGAGTGGTGTGGGGCAGGGCAGTAGAGAAATCCTTGCAGTCATCATTTATTTTTGCCTCTTCTTCTCTTGATACTTACCTATGACATTCTCTTAAACTAGCTGTCTGACACTGTGAGCTCTCTGGTCTGGTCTACATCTCATGAACATGCATCGGAACTTCTCACTATGGATGAGGAAAGTTTTGTGGATAGCATCAACTCTGCTTTTGTGAGTATCAGCCTTGTGGCGGGTATGAGGCTTTCTTGTAGTCACAAGAAATACAGTGGAACCCTACAGCTTAAAGGATAGTAATGGGAGAGGTGGATTCTCAAGTTCCTTCCTCTGGTGAGGACGATATTAAAAAGGCACTTAGCAAAGAAAGGATGATCCCTTGGGACTGAATTAGGTTAGTTCTGAAAGTCACAGACGTTGAACTAACTTTCCGAAAGGAGGGAAGGGTAGGCTCATCCTAGTTGGAAACTTGTATGTCCTAATAGATGAAGATAGTTTCTTCTACTGTATAGTTTTGTCCAAGTGGTTAAAATTCAGTATTTGGAGCTCATTCAGATTTTTTTCAGCTGGATTTTTATATGTTTAGTTTGGGTTAACATCTAAGGATTTGTTTGTTTTTTTCAGTGGAGCAACATAAACCACTCTGACTTCATTGATACTGCTGGGGCCATGTTTCGATCTGCTGTTTCACTCCTGAAACCCTCAGGCACTGCAGTCCGTCAGCTGCCCCCGAGCATTGCTAAAGTAGATCCAGACAGCCGAGCCATGTTCCCTCTTGGAATGGGGCATGCAACAGAGTATGTCCGGCACCGCGTGGCTCTTATTGGGTAAGATCCCCAACAGTAGCCCTTGTGTGAGTGGGTGGCATGTGGTTAGAAGTGATGAGCGTATATTGACTCCCAGTAAACAAATTAGATGGTTAGAAATAATTAATAGTTTCAGTTTGACTTTACCCAGGCCCAGTTTGTACTGTGTGCTCTTGTGCCAACAAAGTCCTTTTGTATGAGTAGCTCTCCATCCATTGTGTCTGCTTTCTATGTAAATTGCGAGATAATTATTTCCTTCTTCTGGTTCGTGTAGTCCAGTGAAACAATCCAGTATCTCATGCTGGACCTGTACTTCCCCAAACATTGTAGCAGCCATTCTGTGTACCAGTTTGAGTTTTAAACTCACCTTTCTTGAACACAAACAACGAAACATACAAATTATTCTAGATGGCATGTCATAGGCTTTTGTACGGTGGCCTATAGAAAACAGGAAAATGTCTCATCTTTTACATTCTAAGGTTGCATGTACTTTTTTCTCCGCCATAGCTGCAATATACTGGTAGCTTATAGTAATTCTTGGATGTTGTATTATACTTCAGATACCTTTCCAACTTGTGAACCACTCTGTGCTTGGGAGCACTCTGTGCTTTATAGCTTGTTAAAGTGCATGATCTTAAATTTCATACTCAAACTTCATTTAATTTCTCTAACTTTAAGACTCCCTTATCAATATGTCTGGCTTTGTCCTTTAGACGAGTCTGCTCATAAAAGAACCTGATTTTGTTTCTATTCAATGATATCCCACTTCTCCTTTGTATGCATAATGTGTGCTTTGTGTTTGAGAAATGTGCCAATGATATACCTCCTGTTGTGCCAGGGTCACTTACAAAAACATTAAGGCCTGTTCCACAAGTGATCTGAGAGAGGACTTTGGCTAGTCACCTCTTTATAACTTTTCCTTTCAGAACTGCTTTTTGTTATCTCCCCTTTGTCTTGCTTCTTACAACGGGAGAGGCAGTCAGGTAGTTCAGCATAGCATGCAAGGAGGTACTGGATAAAGCTTATTTGCTGCTGTAGGGTGGTGTTCCTTGCAAAGCGGTGAGGAGTGCTATGCTGATCCCTTCTGGGGTTTGTTAGCCATTACGGCTTTCTTCAAGAAGGGATATAAATTTCTGTCTTCTCTTGCTCCAGGGATGCAGCACACAGAGTCCACCCACTTGCAGGACAAGGTGTAAACCTGGGCTTTGGTGATATTGCTTGTTTAGCTCATCACCTCAGTGCAGCAGCCTTCAATGGGAGCGATCTGGGTAAGGATCCAAGACAATGAAGTGGCAATAAGATGATTAGTCTTGCAGGCCTTTGCTGCTATACATGATGACAAGCATTACCTCTGTTGCAGGTTAAGTGTGCTGCTATCTTGTGTTTGAAAGGCACAAGCATTTTTGAAGCAGAACTGTTCTGATGTCTGTTGGCTGTGGAGCAGTTAAAGATTCTTGGATGCAGTTTCCATCCCACAAATCTCAAAGCTGCTTTAAAAAAAAATTCTGCAGGATGGTAGTTAAAGAGATGAAGAGTAGGAGGTGATGGAAGGAGGCCTTTATTAAGATGGACCATTTCTCTGTTCTCTTTGTGTTTTCAGTTGTCAGTGGAGACTGCTATACAGATAAGATGCACAATTGTTTGTGGGAGACAGTTTTAATAGAAGCATTCAATTATCTCTTCCAGGCTCCTTAAAACATCTCTTAAAGTTTGAGACAGAACGTCAGAGGCACAATGTCTCCTTGATAGCTGCTATTGATGTGCTAAAGAAGCTTTACTCCACAAGGCTGGCTCCCTTGGTGTTGCTGAGGACATGGGGATTGCAAGCAACAAATGCCCTGCCTCCTGTCAAAGTAAGAATCTCACTTCGGTGAGGGCTGTAGGAAGAGTCCAGAACTGTTCATGAAACATACACAAGCTGTGAAGACTTTTTTTCTTTTAAATGAAACATTTTTGGTTGGATAATGCGACTTGTTCAAACTGAGGTTTTTTTGTCTTGAATGAGTCTAAGTAGTTCCTAAATTATGGCTCAGTAGTAACTGGTTTCTCCTGCAGCAAAAGGGAAGATAAGAGATCCAAGTGTGTATACTCTCTATCAGTAGTTAGATGTTAGAAGTCACTAGAAGTCTTTGACCTTATTTTGCTATGGAATGAAAATGTGGAACCTCAAATTGCATTTGAGAAATGCACTATAAAACCCCAGCCCTATGAAGAAACATCTTCACTAAGAATAAGACATCAGGTGGCTTGACAGATGTGTTGCAGGGCTCAAACAAGTTACCTGTTTCTGTGCCATTTTGCCTTGTGAAATTGTTCCCTCATGGCAGAAGTGCAGGTCTCTATAATGAAAGTTACCTGAGGAAGGCAGCAGTGAGGAGGTTGTCTTAAACACAGATCCTCTGTTTGCAGCCTGTCTGCCTAAATTCTGCACCATCTTGACCTAGTTGCTAGATTTTCACAAGTTTTCTTAAGCCACCTGTTCTCAAAGCTCCCAAGCACCCTCAAATTACATTCCTCATGTCTGGATTTGAATGTTTTATCCCACAAATCAAGGTGCCTTCTGTTAAATACAGGTGGCCTGTTTCCTTTGTGTTATTGTCACAGTTAAGACACTACCCGAGTTGAAGAGCAGTAAATTCCTAAGGCGTAGTAGCTGCCATTGACAAGATGTCTTTATTAGTTGCACTAAAAGGAGGACTGTGCTGCTGGTTCAGTGCTCAGATTTTTTTTTTTTCCTGTTTAAAGCAGAAAACCAAATGAAGACCTCTTTTTCTGAGCATAGAACCTGTTGGTAACACCTCTGTTTTGCCCTACTTGAGAAGGAAAAGAATGCTTTAACTTCTTTAATTTTCTAGCATACAGGGGTAGGTGCTCTGCACTTGGCTAGAAAGGCTGATAAAGAACTGTTGTCCATTTATATAAAGGGAAGGAGACTATAGCTGCTTTCTAGAATGTATGCTTGTTAACAAGTTTACAAATTACTTTTTCTTCTCTTTTAGGAGCAAATCATGGCTTTTGCCAGCAAGTGATCTGTTGTCAGTTCAGAACAGCAGCTTGCCAGTGAACAATGCCCTTGTAAGGACTGTGACTGATTTGAATCTTTGAATTCTGTTATTTTAATTTAACAATAAAACTGAGGGATTGAGCTGTGTATTACATCATCCACTGGTTTATGCAAAAGTTCTGTCTCGTCTGCTCTCCTCAAGAGGATTTAGGGTCTTTTCCTGCAGTACTGTGGTGTCTTCAGCCACAGAATCATCTGTAAAATGTGCTTTTAATTTGGGCTGTTTGAATTGAAGACTGAGATGGAAACAGCTGTCTGCCTTTTGGCAAATGCAGTGCTGAATTTTGCCAGCTACAACTGCTTAATTACTTTGTTTTCTCTGACGTGATTTCTGGAGCTGTCATGTCACTCCTCGGTTCTTAGCACTTCCTGGACTCAGAAAGGAGGGGTAGTTTTCCACCGAGGGAAGACACCTCATGGTGGCAGATATGTTTTAAAGCTCTAATCTGTCTCTTTCACCCTGTTCCCTGGCCTTCTCTTGGTGCTTTATTTAATAATGTTTCTTGTGGAACATGAGAGATGCAAGACAGCAGTAATATGTAGGAAAGAAAACTGCACCACACCATCTTGAATATTGTTAAAAATGCTTTAATTACTAAAATAGACATTCAAGATATTCTGTCTTAGGTTCCAAACACCAGCCTCCTGCATTAGACATTTGACACTCACAAAATTAAGTGAGCACTGCCCATGGGCAAGACTTACAGATATGGTTGACCAGTATCAGGAATTAACATCAGAAAGAATGAAACGTAAGTTTTGAACTAAAAGCCATTACTTGTGCTTCTTCAGTCACTCATATTAGGCAGTTCCTGTTAGTGACTGGCTAAAAAACATTACAAAGGAGGAGATAAAAATCAGGGCTGCAAGTCGAACTCTTCTCTTAAAAGGCTGCTTAGTCTTTAGTTAAGCTAATAAATAATCTCATTGCACTAGGGTAAGTGTGAGGACTTGACAGGGCTTCTCTAGATCCCCCACCCATCTTGAGTAGTTCAGATGTAAACAGCAGGAGCTCAATTCTGCAATTTCTTGCAAAAGAAACATTTAAGCAAAGTTTTTGTTTCTCTCATGACTGCAGGATCAGACCCCTGACAAAAAGCAGCAGTTTTGCTTCAGTTAGTTAATGAATTGTGCCACTGACAAAGGAAGGCCCTGAGCATTCAGATTTAATGCAACTTTGGTATTGGGAAGCAGATGCTCCCACCTAGCATTTGTAGTACCAGAGACTGAGGCAAAGAACACAGAAGAGAAACTTCCTCTGGGTGGTACCTGTCTTGTTTTAGACCATCCTCCCTTCAGACAAAACCAAACCCTTAAGTACTCCTCAGGGCTAGTGTCTATGCAGGTGGCAGTTACACTGCTGCTGCTTGTTCCTTACATACAACATCTGCCTTCCCTTCTGTTTCAAATACAGCCTCACTGCTTATGGCTCATAGCCCCAAGATCTATTAAGAGTTTGTCATAGCACTAGCTCAGACTGAAAGAAAACTTGGATTTTTGAAATTAGCTAGTTCTCAGGAGTAACACAGCTTGGCTAGTAACCACTGCATCCTACTTTATGTTCTCTGAGAATACAGAAGTGAATACAATTGTTCATCACTGAAGACAAAATGAACGCGCTTGCAGTCACCTTGTTGTGTGGACCAGACCATATACTAAGTTTTGCCAAACACTAGGAAGGGGAATAAGAAATGTTTGTGGTTGGGAAGAGGCCACAACTACTTTCTTCATGTTCAACCAGAAGCTCCTAGTGAGGAAGGAACAGAAGTTTGGTGTGACACTGACACATTTCCCAACATGGATCTCAAAACAGATTCTGGTAAGGAGGAGTACAGGTAGGATGAACATTTCATATTTCAAACAAACAGCCTGAATTTCCAGCAAGGTGTCAGTGGTGGGACAAGTACAGGTAGCTCCATCCCCAGCCCTTGGACTCCTGTTGCTGACTGAACTTGTTCAATCAAAAGCGTACCTTGCACCCTAGTGCCATAAAACCTGAGCTATGAGAAGGGGTAGCTTAATTAGCCACAGTCAAACTTGTGCTGTTAACTAGAGGAAGTGGACTAATGTTCACAGTAAGGCAAATTTCTAAGTCTCCAAACTGCTTGGCAAGATTACTGAGGGCATGAATGCACTACTTCCTCCCCTTGCTGGGAATTGCCAATTATTTTCAAATCCAGTTTGCAGAGAAGGTAGCATGAGGGCAGTCTTTGGTTTTACAGAAGTGGGAAAGGTGTGTTACAGCAAAAACCCTACTGCAAATGCCTGACAGGAAAGTGTTCATTGCAAGAGATCAGTGGATAAAAGCTTCCCTTAGTCACATGAGTAATACCTCTCTGTTCTTATGATATGAAAAGATTCATGTTTACCTTACACATTCCATGGTGAGAAGAAGATACTCATTTTTTATGAGCTAGCTGCCAGCTATTTCATGGGGTGGAAAGAGTTGTCTCTACAGCTGTTTCTGCTTAGGACAATGCAAGATCCACACCTGGGAGCCTCAAGGTATTCAAGCAATCTTGATGTTCTCTACAGCCAATTAAACAAGAAAACCAGGATCCTACAGCCCAGCTTTCTAGCATACCTGACAAGATGCTTTCTTTAAAATAATTGATCTTTCATTGCTTCTATATGTTTGGTGTGAAAGAGATGGCAAGATTCACTTTAAATTGTTACTCAAATAGCTGCTTGCTCTCCTCACAGAAGTCTTGGGCTTCCTAAACAGCTGCAACCCCTTCATTGGATGAACTGTTCCTGAAGATCTGCTGTATATATTAAAAATAATTCCAGAGCAATGCAGGGCTGCATGCACAATTTCATGTGTCCAACTCCACTATATTAAAAAGAAATGAAGTTTAAAACAAATTTAAAATGGACAAGGTGTAAGCAAACAAGGGATAAGAAAGCAGAGCTACTCCTGCTCTTGTTCTCCTTCTGTTTCTGATGCTAATTCTACTCTCTCCATATTTTCATCTATTAAACAACTGAAAAAACAACTTGTTTCACCACAGCTCTGCATTCAGAGGAGGTTCCTAAGAAGAGTGCAGGAAGTGATAAGCCCAAACTTTCAGATGGGAAACCACACCTTAGAGCTCACTCTGACAAAATGCGCTGTGGTGTTCTAATGGCTCACTGGCCCAGCAGGTCTCCCAGACTGTGCAGTGCCTATTTCCCTTGTGCTCGCACTAGACAATTTGGTGAGCAGATTTAACTCAGGTTTGGTGTCGTGGATTGGTTCACAGAAGAACCTGAGGAGCACTACCATCAGAGGAAAGAAGGCTGTGGGAGTGCCTTGCTGAGAGCAGAGAAACAGAACCGCCTCTCATGGCAAAGTGAGCTATCAGATCAGCCATTTCATCTGACTGCACCCTTAACGTCCTTGTGGGTGTAATGTGACAAGCATTTCTTTTGGCAGTGGAGTTTAAATAGCTGACACTGCTGCCTAGTTGTGCCAGCACAACTATGTGTTATGACTAGATGCTAAATGAAGTTATCAGGTCTGGTAGCCAGATGTACAGTATAGCTGCACAGAATTGGAAAGGGCAGCAAAAAGGAACACAAAACAGTCAGGCACACATTCTGCTTAGGAAACGACTGCTGCCTAAAGACATGCTTGGTAAGTTGTAACTTATGTTTTAGCAAACGCCTTTCCCAAAACCATGCTCGAAGTGTGCTTATAGCAGGCCCCTTCTTGAAAGACTGGGGTCTTCTTGCAATATATTAGCTAAGCTAACAGACAGGTACTTGGAATGCTGAGGCTGGCAGCATCCATAGTTGTTCACTTTTCTTTGAGTGACTGTTGATGTCATCTTTAATTTCTGTATTTAACATCTCACAAGCAAATTTAAGTTACATATGTTTAAAATAAAAGGGGGAGGAAAAGTCACATGTCTGTAGTCTGCCACCACGTGCCAGGTACTCTGTGATTCTAGCAATGGGATGCCATACAAACGTGCTGGTGAAAAGCTGGCTTTGAGCCCCTTGTGGATACTCTGCTGGAGTTTAGGCCTTTTGACTTTCAGAAGGCAGCTTCTGGATCATTTATGGCAATCACAATTATAAATCATACTGTGGCAACTCTATGCATGATGCCAATCCTGGGTGAAGATCTGTTCTATAGCTTTGGTCCATGTTCTGCTCTGTGACCAACTCCAGCTGAACAACGTACCTGGAGATTTCAATTTGCCTTCTCAGCCTTTCAGAAATGCTTAAGTCCACAGGAGTGCCACAGCTCAACAGGTTATCCCCAGAGACTGCAGTAGGTGAAAGGTAGCACCCAAAGTCCAGCTTGTCTCTATGTTGTTCACTTTCTTTGTTAACTGTAAGGGAAGAAAAAGAAGTATTCCCAACAGTTTCCTAGATTCATATGTTGCACAGGTGACAGTAACTACATGTAACAACCCTGGAAAGACTCAGTAGATAATTACCCAGAAAAATGAACCAATGTTGATTGATAAGAGAAATTTGGAAGCTGGCTTTGGGATTTAACTATTTTTCTCACCTGTAAGAGTGTGTTGTCCCTAAATCCAAAGCCTTCCTTTAGTAAAGCAGTGATGTAAGTGAGATCCATGCAGAGGAAAGGACTGGCCGAGTTGTACCTCTCCATGTTATCGCAGACTACAGAAGGAAAAAAAAAAAAAAAAAAAGGATCTCAGCAAAATAAAGGAGCTTTTATCCACATTATAGATTTGAATTTACCTCAAGCCAAAGCCTACTAAAACAAGCCACCCGATTCTATTAATGGGTATATATGGTACATGCTACACATAACTCTTTCGACATCTGAATCTCTGCTGAACTGACAACTGGCAGGGAGTTGGTAGATTACTTATTCTTTCAAGAACACAACATCATTTGTCTTCCTTCTCTAGTCTCCAAGGATGGCTGCAGTAATGGACTCCACCTTCTAGGTTGGCAGCTTCTTTTATTTTTTAATAAATAAATGGTTTGATGGTGTTAGATAACATCTTAGCTGCATCTTTGGAAATAAGGTCTCTCGGTATCCGGGAGGAAACAAACACCCCACACTCAAACTTTAGAGCCTAATCCCCCTATTCAAAACCATCTGAGTTTCTAGGGAGATTAAATTTAACTGAA